TGCAATCTGGCAGTTCGAATCTCAACAGGCTTAAGGTTGACTCAGCCTTCCATCCTTCCGAGGTGGGTCAAATGAGGATCCAGATTGTTGGGGGCAAGAGGCTGATTCTGTAAACCGCTTAGAGAGGGCTGAAAGCCCTATGCAGCGGTATATAAGTCTAACTGCTATTGCTATTGCTATTTACTGTAGAACAATGGAGAGTTACTGTATGGAAAATCGATGCTATTGGCTTTGAATCCATAAGCATTATGGGGTGGTGATTTTTCCCCCCATGGCTACTGAATGTTCTCGAAGGATGAAACTAACTCCGTCCTTGTTTTGAAAAAAATGCCTACCTCCAAGCTGCATGTAAACAAAACCAGGTGCAAAGATTATTATATCTAGTTACAAAAAGCCAATGAGTCAATGGAAAGGCAAATCTAACGAGCTATTTCCCTAAGCCAACAAAGTGGCTAAATAAAGGCATTCCAGTTACCTTAAAGGGCATTTTATAGCACTTATAGCACTTATATACCGCTTCATAGTGCTTTTACAGCCCTCTCTAAGCGGTTTACAGAATCAGCCTCTTGCCCCCAACAATCTGGATCCTCATTTGACCCACCTCGGAAGGATGGAAGGCTGAGTCAACCTTAAGCCTGTTGAGATTCGAACTGCCAGATTGCAGGCAGCCGGCAGCCAGCAGAAGTAGCCTGCAGTACCACATTTTAACCACTGTGCCACCACGATTCTCAGCTTAGCTATTCTATTCTTTGGGTTTCACTTACGTTTTTTTTCCTCTACGCTTATTTCAAATCCCAGTTCATTTCTCAATCATTTGGCCAGTGGTGGATTCCTAGCAATTCAGACTGGTTTGGTCGAACTGGTAGTGGTTTGGTGCTGGAACCGGCAGCGACCCAGGCCTGCCATGCCCCCCAAACCGGTTCTCTGGGCAGCACCATAGGCACCACCATCTTCTTTTTCCTTTCTGCGCATGCACAGAACAATTTTAATTGTACTGTCCATGCGCACTGCATGCATCAAGTGTGTGCCCACAGCCTGTACATGAGCGAACTGGCAGTAGTGCCTGCTGAAACACACTCCTGACCTCAGCTCTAAATTTATAAATTTAAATTTTTTATAAATAAATAAATCACCGATGCAAGACTATTCAGAAGTATGTCAGGCCTGCAGCCATGGATTGAAATTGTGTCTTTGGTAACAGCCCATCCCCAGAAAATGTTTTGTGGCTGAATTCCTACCATCATTTTAGGAATCTTAATATAATGTGGCTCTTAAGAGACTATCTTGCCAAGCAAGAAGTTCTCACAATCCAACGAATCCACACAAACCAATCGAATTTCTCCCAAACATCTTAAGTAAATCAAAAGACCCAGGAGTCCAGGAAGTAAATCGGGACTAACAGCCAGTAGGTAGGACAGACACACAGAAGACTAACAAAATGCATCCATGAGAACCAACTAGCAGTCAGAAGGCATGATGAAAACTCCTTAATCTCCCAGCATATGGACAGATGATTGAGTCTCAGACTCAATCATCATTTCAACAGGTCAATTAAGAGCAGACTAAAGCTAAATCCAGAAATTGATAAGGAATTTGTGGAAACTTGTCCCTTAGACAAATCAGCCATCAACAGGCACATAGAGATAAACAACATTTACACAGCATTCAAAACGGACAATAAAAAGGCGACAGAAAGACCAGGACGTTTCCTCACTAGAAATCAACAATGAGATAAGCAGGGATTAAGACCAGACACACCATCAAGCGGTAAACAATGCCCTAATCAAGGAACTACCAACTCAGAAAAACAATTGAGGAGTAAACAACAGCCTAATCAAGGAACTACCAAGGAGTAAACAACACCCCTACTAACACTAACAAGCCAAGATATTAGATTTAAACAAAGGGCAAACCCCACTCCCTTTTTAGTACTGAAAAGTCTGGTATTGAAGGTCCACAAGCCAACAATCGAACTCAGACAGCACCAAGGACTCCACAGTTTAACCCTGACTTAGATATTATCTTCTATTGAAAGAAGGCCATAGCTCCATTCTGCCCACCCGGGCCAGGTTTTAAATCATAGAATCATAGGCTTAAGCCCATCATTGCTACAGAATACTCATTCCTTAAATTAAAATGGACCTTAACTAACATTTAACAAAATTCAAAATTAACAAACCCATTAGCCTAGTTGAGTTGGTCATCCTGTCTGGCAATTACCCTTTGGCTCGTTCAAGTCTCCAATCAGGACACTTCTGACTTCCAAGGAGAGGCAAGCCATCCCTTAAAGCAGTGGTTCCCAAACTTGGCAACTTTAAGACTTGTGGACTTCAACTCCCAGAGTTCTCCAGCCAGAAGAGCTAGCTGGAGAATTCTGGGAGTTGAAGTCNCTATGAAGCGGTATATAAGTCTAACTGCTATTGCTATTGATAAACAAATAAAGAAACTTGAATTACAAGAACCAGATTAGTGATCTTTTAAAAACAATAACAAAAAACAAACAAACAAGCAACAATAACAACAAAAGGCAATTGTTACGCCCAAAGAGTTAACTTGCTTCCACAAATACAAACCACCATTTAACTCACAAAATACACAAGAGAGAAATGACAACTTGTTTCTGGGAAAAGAGTATTACTTGTATTGTTTCATTAACGTATTATGACTGATGTTGTTTCATACTTTTCTGTTGTTTTCCATGATTTTTTTAATCCTTATTTTTGCTAGATGCCACTCAAACGCAGTCCGGCAAAATAAATGAATAATAAACTCTACTGTTCTAAAAAGCTACGTCTGTCTCCAGTAAGAGGGAGGAAGCAAATTCATATATCTCACAATCCCTCCTTAAATAAATACTTGTTTAAACAGAAATAAAGAAACATAGTTCTTGTGGAATAAAACATAAAAGAATGAAACACTGGTATGAGGTACATCTTTGATCCAAAACTAACAGTATATTATATTTTGGAAATTCTTCAGTTCTAACTATTTACAAAGAGTTCATTTTAAGCCCCAGATTTTCCAGGTCAAAAGTTGAAGTTCTGAAGACTAAAACGAGAGAGGATGTTATAAAAATGCTTATTATAGCTGCAAGCTTGAACACAATCAACCTTTGGGTTACATTTGTCTATTCAAAACAATGTAAATTTTTGCGATTTGTTTGTTAATCCTCTACATGGAAGGCTCTACTGTAGAACAAGGGGATGTGGTGGCTCAGTGGCTAAGACGCTGAGCTTGTCAATCAGAAAGGTTGGCAGTTCGGCAGATCGAATCCCTAGTGCCGCATAACGGAGTGAGCTCCTGTTATTTGGCTTCTGCCAACCCAGCAGTTCAAATTCATGTAACAATGCAAGTAGAAAAAATAGGAACCACCTTTGGTGGGAAGGTAACAGTGTTCCGTACGCCTTCAGCATTTAGTCATGCCGGCCACATGACCACGGAGATGTCTTTGGACAGCGCTGGATCTTCGGCTTTGAAACAGAGATGAGTACCGCCACTTTGAGTCGGGAACGGCTAGCACATATGTGCGAGGGGAACCTTTTTACCTTTACCTTGACCAAGAGCCGAGGTGGCGCAGTGGTTAAATGCAGCACTGCAGGCTACTTCAGCTGACCGCAGTTCTGCAGTTCGGCTG